CAAATAAATTCTTTAAAAATCAGACAATGTGATTTTCTGGATTTTTTTTCTCATTTTGTCTGTCATATTTGAGGTATAACTATGATGAAAATTACAGGCCTCTCTCATCTTTTTAAGTGGGAGAACTTGCACAATTGGTGGATGTACTTATTTTCCACCATGATTTGCAAATAAATTCTTTAAAAATCAGACAATGTGATTTTCTGGATTTTTTTTCTCATTTTGTCTGTCATATTTGAGGTATAACTATGATGAAAATTACAGGCCTCTCTCATCTTTTTAAGTGGGAGAACTTGCACAATTGGTGGATGACTAAATACTTTTTTGCCCCACTGTAGAATAAAAACTTGTAGTACCATCAGCTCCCAAAGGCAGTCAAGAAGGATATCATGGTCAATTGTATGACAGGCTGCCAAAGCATCCAGAAGCAGAAGAAAGGAACATATTACCCTTGTCACACTCTCTCAACACATTGTCCATAAAGGCACCTGTGCTGTCTCTATGCTATACTTTGACCTGAAACCCAACTGAAATGGATCCAATAAATCAGTTTCAGCCAGAAGTGCCTCTGAAGCTACCCAGCCATCCCTCGCTCAGTCCCCTTGGCCAGAAATGACAAATTCAAAAATGGTCTGTACTTGTTAAAAAGCAATGGTTCCTTCAGTTGGAAATGTACCACCACTTTCTTCATGGGTGTGGCACTACCTTCTCATTGAGGGAAATCTTAATAATCAAGCATGTTACCTCCCTCAAAAGATCCCAGAGCCAGTCTCAGTCAAGAGAGAGAGAGAGGCAGATCTAAAGTATATGAACTCATCATCATCCTGCCCATGTCCTCACAATGCACAGGAAAACAAAGCCTTTCTCTGACCAGAATTTATTCATGCTAACTTGCAGTTTGCCCAAGCTGATGATGGTCTAAACAACCACTAAGAAGCACTGAACTCCTTCTATTCTACAGTGTGAGCCCAAGTCTGTCTTTCTGATATGGAGTTCAAATCCTCAGAGAATTGGAGGTAAAACAAAATTCCAGTGAAAGGATACTTCCATTCTACTATACTAATGCAGGCTCTTCGGAGTGGGTTATTGAGGGACAGACAGAAGAGAGCACGGGCTGGCCGACTATTGGATGTATTACCCTGTTTTTTGCTCTTGGCATATTGCTGGCGCTTTCTTTGGGACAGAGATCCTACAGGTTGAGCTGGAGCAGTGCTCATGCTTTGGGCAGCCTTGGCTTGTCTAGCAGCATCAATTGCAGCTTGCCAAGATAGCACCGTTTGCTTGGAAGGTGCTGAGCTGTTTGGCTGGAGCGCTGGGCTGTCACCAGGAAGAGGAATTCTGGTGCTATTTGCATAGCTTGCTTCTGTGGAAAAACAAAAGAGAAGAAGAAAATTAATTTGCCTTATTTTGAAATTGTTTTTGAAAGGACTAGGCTTCAGTGAAGTTTAAAGCCTTTTCTTTAAAAAAAAGAACAAAAATCAACCAACCCTTTCTACTGAGATTAAAAGGTTCAGGAATGAGCATGATAGACATCAGTATCTGTGGGACAGATAAAAGTTAGGAACTGAGTTTTGGATATTATCCACCCTGGAGTGGCCATAGCATTAAATTCCTTTGCTTTTTTAAAAAAGTCCTTTTCACTGGTTACACATAGATATAGTACTGTACACCATTTGCATAGTAGACACCAAGACTGATCCTAACCAAAATTTATGCACTGAGAGCAAGTGCAGAAAGAGTTTCCACATCTATACAGTACATGTTCCACTGTATGACTGGAAATCCTGCCCATCATGTGACCATCATCCATACAACTATAAGCACTTGGCTTAAAAGGATCAATCCCCCTTTTCTCTTCATGATTTCAGAATTCACATGAAAGAGTTAAAGTTACATTACAGCATCCTTTATAAAATTAAATGCCACCATTAGATTTTGCTTCTGTGACCACCTAATCATATATAGTTTAGATTTTGTTTTAAAATGTAGTAACATTGAAAAACTGTGTCCATTAATTTGGGGAAAAATCCAATATGAGGTTTAAAAACTCTCATTTTAAGCAACCATGTATCTAAAAACAAATTGTTTTTATTTATTACACTGTTATCTTATTCTTCTCCAGAAATACAAAGCAACCTGTATTACTGAATCACTAGGCAATTGGTTGGCCCTATAAATAAAATTAATAAATCACGTTATTCTCCTGCTCTCCCATTTTATCCCCATAAAAATATTGGAAGGTACTGGATGAGTGCAGATCTGAATCTGGGTCAGCCTGGTTGTAGTTCAACATACAAACCATTACCCTCCAACTGAGACTCCCACTGGTGGCACATCTCCTCACTCTAATGACTAATGCCAGATTAAGCATTTTCAGCCTAGAGATGGATAAGGGAAAGAATTGTGTTGCAGGTGGAAAAAGAGCTGTTCTTCCATGTGTGTACAGTGAAGATATTTGGTGCTGCTGTGGAAATAAGGTTGCTGCTTTGTATATGAAAGGGAGTCAATCTCTGAACAAATCCACACTTCCAGTATACTCCAGTGTGAGCGCAACCCACCCACCATCTCCAGAGGGCATGTCATCCTCAGTCCACCCCCATTCAATGCAACCTCCAGCCATGTTTTCTGGCTTTGTGCCAAAAACTGTGTTTTACAGCTGCATTACCTGGTTTGCATGCTTTGTAAGCAACCCCATTCTACTCCAACTGGCTATTGCAGCCTGTGCTGGGGATGTGCCTCAATCACAATGTGGTTGTTGCTCACATTGTCATTTTCTTTTACAAGATCACAGGTGGAAGGCTCCTTCCTTTCTTCCTTCCTTCCTTCCCTTTCTCCTTTCCTTTCCTCTCCTCCCCCCCATTTATCAGTGGAACAGCGGAAGTCTAGGCCTACCTTTGCTTTTATTTGTTTTTAAAATAGGTGAAATTCTGTCACTTTCCCCTTCTAGTCAAGTAGTGACAGGAAAATGGCAAAATTTATTTTTTTTATACATCAATGCTAGGCCGGTGGGCTGGCCAAGGAAAAAGGGAACCCACCAATCAGAGGTTGTAGTAAACCCAGTCCAGACAGAACATTAAGTTATTAATGTGTAGTATGAATTATTACAGAACCATAGAGAAGCTTACAGGTATCCTCATTTAGTGACCACAATTGGGACCAGCAACTCAGTTGTTAAGCGAAGCAGGCACTAAGTGAAATTGTGACTGTGCTTATGGCCTTACTTCAGCTTTCCTTTGCTTTACAGACCTGCGAAGGTTGTAAATGTATTGATCATAGAGTTATTTTTTCATCACTATTGTAACTGTGAACAGTTACTAAATGAGGAATACCTGTACTACAATTTAGGACCACGTTGAAAGTGTTTTTGTTAATCTCATCAATGGAGATCCCACAATGGTTCAGCCATGACAATTTTTGTATAATGTGTTTATTACTATACTCTATTTTAGTTCATGTATTTCTATGATCATTTATTTAATTATATTTAAATGTATTTATAATTTGCAAATACCTGAAAATGCATTGGATAAGAGGCAGCATATAAATAATTGGAAAAAAATATTTAAAAGGTGATTTTAGTAAACTAGGACTATAGTGTCCCAGATTCAAGCCCACATTTGTCCACAGAAGCTCACTGGATAACTCAGGACCAGTCAATATCTTTCACCTCAAGAGTACCTCTCAGAGTTACTGAGGTGGGGATAAAACTGGAGGATGTACACTATTTTGAACTCCTGGGTGGATGTAACATTAATGAGCAAATAAAGAAAAACTCCATTTGTCAATAAATACATTAAAAACAAGAAAAACATTCAGTTAAAAAGTGTTGGTAGTTACAAATTCACTTGTGCCCTTAAAGCATACTCACACACACTGTATATCAGTGGGTCCACTTTACCTCCACCACTATCTAAGCAGTAAGCACCCTTCTCCATTCTCATATCTAGTGCTGCCTCTCTAATTCCCATGTTTTGGGGAGTCTTTCATTGCAGTCCTCCTCCTTTACAAGTTGAAGCTCAGGTCATCAGTAGACCTTCAAGAATTACTATATTTTAAACATCTAAACACACACATGTTAAACTGAAAGTAAAAGACTAACCTCTGATTTTAAGTAAAAAATTAATTCATTTTAAAGAGAACAACCCTGTCGCAAAATAATCACAACAATAAAAAAGGAGATAATGATTACAAGGGGAAAAAGGGGGGGGGGATTCCTAGACCTATATGAAAATATATACTATTTTTCCCAATATGAAATCTAATCTCTTTCCCTAATGCAAAATTTAACACAATGGATATTTGTTTACTAAAAATGCAGGATTCATCTCCATCTTTTTTCTTATGAACAATGAGTTACACTTTGGTTTCTCTTCAAATCATATAAATCTTTCACACTGTCTTATTATACATCAGACACTTGTCTCTTTCTATGCCCGCTCTCCAGTCTTCCGCTATCAGTTTTATTTCTCTACCTCACTCCATCTACTGCTAAATCAATTAAGGCAATAGAAATAATAGGCAGTCATCCTACCATTAAGTGGTCACTACCCTGGAAAATCAGCATTTCCCTAATTTGCAAAGGAAGCTTTGAAAGGCTAAAAGAAAGCACAGGTGACTGAAACTGAGTTATAAGTGAGCAGAATGTGAGACGACTGTAAGATGTGCTATATGACATGGGTCTTGAGGCACTATCTTAAGTAGGTTTTTCCATGGCATCTCACTTATATACATCTGCAAATGGCTTGCCCCTTAACTTAAAAAAAATCTTATGAAAAATGCTAAAAACAATAATACTGAACAATGAAACTGAGAGTCCTTCTGAACTTATAATTGTGCCAAAGTTACAAAGGAGAAACAACAAACCATTATAAGTGATCTTTAGTATTTGAAATATACATGAAACTACCAAGTGGACAAGACTTTCTAACCATGCTTTAAATTTGAGGTTTCATGTGGTCAAAACTGATGGAAAGACACAAGAAGTCAGAGAGAGACTCTGTCAGAAATCTCGTCCAGGTGACAAATAACTTACAGTCTGTGAAGATTAGTAGAAAAGCCTTTCTTTACAAATATAATTTCCCCCTCTATCGGTGCCATAATAAAAAAAGGAGGGGAAGTGTGTTTTGTACTCCTTTCCATATTATAGTGATAAGAACCAAATATTATCTTCCCTCCTTTCGACACCTCCAGAGCTGCACACAAGAATGCACGTGTACACCTAGTTATGGAAAACAGAGACTGAAAGGGTGGAGGGGAATGTTTAAGATGGCTCCCTTAATGTGCAGCTGAGAAAAGGTAGCTCTGAGAAGTAGCGGGCATCTTTTTTTTACTGACCAAGGAACTATAACGAATCTCACTCAGGGATCTCTTGAGAGCAATCCAATGGGTGGAGAGCTGATAGCTCTTCTCACAGCAACAGGACCAGGTTATTCAAGGAGCAGAGCATCTCCCTCACCTGTAATCACTCCATACAAGAGCAAACATTGTCAGATCCACCCGACAATGGTTTCTCCTGAAATCATTTCATCATTTCTCCCTCCCTCCCACCCCAGTGTTCCATTTATTTATTTATTTAGCTAGCTAGCTTGCTTGCTATTTCTGGGCCAGGAGGCCACGAAAGAAGGCAGCCGGCCTCTTCTCCTTTGCAAGGGACCTCTGAAAGTGAAGCAGGTGGGCTCCAGAGGGAGTCGCTCTTTTTTGCCCTCTGGCACACGCGCACGCACACACGAGCTCAAAGCGCCCGTCAATTCAAGCAGGATGAATCACTTCCACGCAGCTCCGGGGAGACGGGCGGGGGGGGGGGGGGGGGGGG